ATAATCACGGACATGGCTCACACTTTTTGTCTTTAACATAATTTTTCGCCAATTTGGTGTCCCTCCCACATTCCCTTGCTGACGGGTTATGAGTAAACCAAAACGCCCTCGATTACCCTTCACAGGTAAAGATCGACCGAGAGAAACTTTGATTTTTCGTGCCTGAGTGATCGAGTTTTTCCTGAGCCTGAACTCGTATTCTCCGTGCTCAACCGAACCTCCCGATTCATTAATGTGCAGGAATACACTAACAGCAACGCTAAAAAGCATCGGAAGAATCAGAGTATTCCTCTGTGAATCCCTGAATGAACTTGAGAGGAAACTTCTTCTGTTTTCACTGTACGGAGAAGAAGATGTTTCCAGTGGTAGTAGAAGGAAGAAGGGAGGTCCAGACTAAGTCCACGGTCACGCAGGCGTATACCAAGCATGAAAGAAACTTGAGCGCATCAAAGAGGCGAAACGGTTTTCTGACAGCCAGCTTCACCGCAGTGATCAGCTTAATAATAGCCAACTTGATGCGTTTGGCAACTTGCCAACATTTCAGCTGTGGGACCTTCGAAATCACATTCGAAATGGCATGAAGCTCCCAGGAACCTCTAGATTTATCTCCACGCATATCCGTTTGATCAAAGTGGCACCCTCCTACAGCTGCGGGCCTGTCCACTTGGTACACGGCAGGGAACCATTTTCCAGGCCAGTTTACAACTTATATCTGAGTGCTCTCTCACCGCAATCTCATTTACTCATTGAACCGCGGTACGAACGAGATGCGGACAGTCATAAGAAGCAAGCATTATTGGTTTATAACTGCAAGCAGTTACTCTGATCGCCGAGCTGTTCGCAGGAGCTCTTTCCTTTGACATTGCTTTTCTCATCTGGCGTACACTCGCCTGCGTACTTGCAGTGGATAACCATACAACTACTATTAACAGAGACCCTCTGGATTTGATGGAGAGAGGGTGCACCACTTTGCGCACGTGGATGGGCTAGAGTAAGGTCATAACGAAGCTGTAGCTCGACGGAATGCAAGCGGATTCCCAGTATTTGTTCCATCTGGTTGTACAGGACGTGCAGTCATTATCCCTGCAAACGAGAATATGGGAGGATTTGCGTGAATTGTAGTGCAGCAATGGAGCCTTTTCCATCGATAAGGTGGATGGGAACAAGGGTTCCAGAAGGGAAGGATCACGAAGTCGAGGTGGTTAAAGACACTCTCTGCGACAAACTAAGCCCATATGCTTTTAAACGCGCCAGATGATCTCTCGGGCGACTCTAGGGCGTGCGACACATCCAAAAAAGCGAAGAAAGCAGGAATTCCCGCGAAAGCATGGCAAATAGGCCCATCGGCACCGCTTAGGCCCATGGCGACCCCCGGAGGCCCAAGTCCATGGTGACGTCGCACCACTAGTGAGCGGTGAATGTCGACCATCCGTTGCTTGGAATCTCGTTGGGATTATTGCGCCGAACAGCTGATAGGTGCCCTGCTATTCTCATTTTTTGCTTTTTTCGCATATTATCTCGGTCGACATAACTGGTATTTTCGTCATTCTTTAATGCATCCTCTCTCTCTCTCTCCTTTCCCATCCCAATTCTCAACAGTCGCGTGTGCGTTAAAAGATTTGCTTACACTTGATTTGTTTAACTTCGTCGTTGTTCGTTTATTCTAGTTTTTTTTCACCAATGTGCTTATTCAATTCAGTTCATGTCTAAGGTTCATGTTATAGTCGATAGGGCCGTTTGTGAAGACCTCCGTGCTGCACTGTCCCGCCTGAGCGCAGAAGAAAAGGAAGCCGGCGCCTAGGTCAATCTGAAAAGGTTCGTATTGGCTTTTTTGTTTTTTTATTACATTTCATTTTACTGGAGGTGGATTGGCCCGTGAACATTTTGTGGAGCACCTCCGTCCACCTCTCAGAAGCGCTTAGGCCGCGTTCATATGATGGCGAAATGCCGAGATTCTTCATTTTGGCTCCGCGGAATGGGAAGAAGTTCAGAAATGGGGAGAATTTGCAGATTCTGCATTTCTCCCAATTCCGCAGAATGGCAGGAACAAAGCCATTGAACCCTATTTCTTTGTGCTGCATTTCGGAATGTTTGCAAATAGCAGAACTGGGGGAAATGCGGGTTTCATTTTTCCGATGTGTTTCTTTTCTCTGGCTGCAATTTCATCAGTTCGGTGTTGATTGATTGTGTCGCTATGAAAGAGGCAACTTAGTAATGAAGTCTTTGAACATGTATTTGATTCTTTCAGGTTTTCATGACTATTGCAATGAGTTCGATTATCTCGTTCATGCTGCTACCGCTGATGAAAGACGACATGCGTTTGGAACAAATCGTTTTGTGGCACCGTGGATACAGAGAAGGATCTGCTGCAGGCAGTTGAATCTGACAGGGTTGCTCTCCCTTTTTTCATTCAATCCATTCAAAGGGAAATCCCTGTCTCTACAAGTGTTCACCGTTTTTTTAATGGACTCATGTTGCCCATCTTGTCCGAATTTTTTACTTGTAGGGTCCTTTGAATGAAGTGGAGTGTAGAACCATTTCTGTCTTGATCTTTACTTTTTCCAATGAGCAGGCTTTTCACAGTTTTTGTGACGAATGAGCAAGTATTTGGCCCAAGAAAAAGTTTTATTATGTATTTTGAATGGTTTCATTGCTTTTGTTTTACCCTTCGCTGTTCCTGTTAGTTCTCTTGTCCTTAATTACCTGCCGTTGATCTGAAGAGTCGATAGGCCACTTGCATCGCGCCAGCCTGCACTAGGAAGAATGTCATCAACGGTGTTACGATGCTCTATTTTTCTATCCTTGTCCCATGAACTCCACAAAGGAGGCCAGAAGCCACTGTGGAAAAATATGGCAAATTTATCATTATTATTGTCAGTATAAGTAGTGCTGGCGATTGATCGTACAGTTGATGTGCAATTGCTGCAACAATTCCAGTAGGTTGGAAGAAAAAGTCCTGCGACGCCTTGACCACATTTTCTGGTGAAAGTTTCCTTCTCCAGAGAGATTTCCAATCTACAAGGTAATCAGCACTACCATGACTAGGGCTACTGCACCTTTTACATCGCTTTTCATTTCCACTATTATAGAACTACGGCAACTACGATAAAAAGAGAAGGTGCACCTCATTTGAGTAGACGTTGATTCTTGGAATTTTCGCTTTTCAGAGGGTGAGTATTCCGGAATGAATTGAAGCGTGACGTCATACATGTTTAACAGTCGATTAGGGTGGAGTGCTTTCCTTACAGCTATGTTTGTATCCAGCGATATCGCTTCGAAGTTCCAATAACACAGTGAAATCCGTAATCCATGCACATCTGCTTTTGGCTGTCCCAGTGCATGGGGAGCGATATCCTTCCTCGAGGCAATGTGTGAGACGTGTCGCAGGACTTTCCTTCCAACCTAATATGTTGTCAGTGTTGAAGAATACCGAAGTCACACATCTCCTTGTCTGCGTTTTTCTGCTGTACCTTTTCATCTATCTGACGGAAACACTGCGAATAGATTCCTGAGTTCAGATTCGTGTTATACGATGAGGCGCTCGTGTTCTCTCTGTGGGCAAGTTGCCAGTGTAATAGGCAGCCGTCCTTGAACAAGCCAAACTTCAACTCAACGCTTTGCTGTCGTTACTAGGTCTCGTGGCTAGGGCGCTTGTTGATAGTGTTTGAGGAGACACTTTGCAAGAATAGAATCTATGTTTGCCATATTCCCGTTGTAGGAGAGGTGAGTCGGTGAACTTTGTTCAACATGACACTTCGTTTCCGCGGGAATGTCTAAAAAGAAGTCACCTTCCTTTTTCCTTTTCCTTTCCAACAGAGAAACAGACCTACGCAGATCATATACAGGGGGTCACTTTTCCTCACTGATTTTCGAGGCGCTGTAAGTTACACTTTATAAATTCTGATCGGACATTTTTACCACCATATTAAAGAGCATATCAAATACTATTATGACACTCCGCCACAGCCTTCTGGACGAGCGCCATCGAGAGATTCTGGCACGCGACCGCGATGTGGTGCCTGAGATCAGCGAGATAGTCGATTTCTCCGCCACCGTAGACCACCCTATTGAACTCCGCCCGAACCGGGTAATTGAGGGGATTCAGGTCAGGTGACCTACTTGGATATTCCATCTTCTTTAGGTACTCAGCCCCCTTCCATTCCAAGTAGGCGAGTGTTTCTCCAACGCCCTTCGATTTCATGTGGTGGCACTCAATGCTGTAGCAGTACAAAGTTTCCAAGAAGGTACGGGCGACCACATGTGAGGAGGATATTCTTCACGAGTTGCCCAATGTAACCGCCAGCGCTCACCTTCAGTCCGGGGTCCACGAAGAAAATATTGGTCTTTCCATTCCAGGTACGTCCGGTCCATACCATCAACCCGCGCCTTGGCGACTGCGGTGAAGATGATGTCCTAGACCGTGGCGACGTTGTCGGAGCTGCTCGATGTTGGAGGTCATCCAGATCGAGAGTACTGGTCTCCAGGTAGCTATCCATGGGTGACTGCTTATAGAGGAACATCTTGGGTATCTTCCGCCCTGGTACTCGTATCCACGTCCTCTGTCTGGGCAGCGAAAACTTTGCTGATATGTGACTCGGTCGAAGTGACTTTTTTGGCCCCCCTGTATTTTATTATGGGAGGCTCTGTATATGTGCTGAAATCACACTCAGTGGGAGAGCCGTGTCGTATTACGAAGACCTGAAGGCGGAAGGAAGCACTGCTTACTTCTGCACTGATGATATCCCGACGGGTCTCGCTGAGGTGATCAACGGCCCAAGTGAAGTGGAGCTTTTATCATCATACAGTGTACATCTGCACAATTCCATACTGTAAATGAAGTAGAGATTTTAAGAACAATATGGCCATAAGTGCTCCAGATGTGTGGTAATTTATAAATGCCGCTATGAAAAAGTATCGCGGGACTTCTCTATGGCCGGAGGAATACGACTGCGAGCTGTGTATCGGTAAGGAACGTGTTTACAACATTTATTCAAAACTGCTCATGCTACAATCACTACAAACAACCATCTTCCAACTCCACACTTTCTCCGGTCGCGTCCTACAACACTAATGTAATCGCCACGTCCTGTGAAGGATGACGGGGAAGCAATTATTATAGCTCCCCTTACGCAAGCTGAGAGCTCGAATCTCTTTCCAAACCCCTCTTTCCAAACCCCAATGTCCGTAACACCAGGCTTCAAAAGCGCGGTAGGCGCAGTACAGCATGCACCTGAACATGCACATGTTACAACATTAATAGTAGCTGCAAATATGCAATGCTCGCCTGGTTTCATCCTCTAATGGTCTCTTCTTCTCTCTCGACCCTCAGGTTCACCAGCAAGACTTGAAGTATTCTTCTTTCTCTCGACCCTCAAGTTTACCAGCAAGACTTAAAGTATCTTTAACACGTGCAAAAATCCTTTCAGTTGCGGAAGCAAGTGAAGGATTAGCTCAGAGTCCAGTGCGACCCTGTAGAATGAAGGGCATAAAATGAAGGGTGCTTCCTTCACTTTGCCTCGCAACCCTTTCAGTGGTTCACACCATACTTTCTCCCTCTAGGGCCTCTCGACAACAGAAGTTTTCTCGCACACTGGTTAGGGAAACACAAGAGCCACAAGAGCACCACTTGACATTCTTCAACCTCGACGAGGGCAGCTCCTTACCGAGTAGAACGCAAAATCCTAAGAAGAGCAAAATCTGAGTCCATTGAACACCATCATTGAATTTTCAGTGAGCACTTCTAACCTTCCAGTTATTTTCGGCTCCTCTCCCTTCTCAACACTCTCTCGACCACCTCCGGCCAGGGTCCACCATTGCAATGGGGCACAGCAAGCCTTCGCTCGACTGCATTCCTAACAGGTACGGTTCAGTTGCACGGTCAATAGAGTCAAAGAGAAATGAATCATGAAAGTTGATGCCAGCGCTCTTTGTGGTTTCATTTATTTGTATGAATCTAGTTTGTGTGTTACTCACTCGACAGAAGCGGTACGGTATGTCTGAGTTTATGGTCACGATATTAAACGGAGAACTATTTATAAGCACCTCTTCTTCATAATATTTTGTTGATTTATGGACTGTGATTTCAGTTTTTCTCAACTCGATTTTGATATGATTTTGATTGATTTTCTCAATTCCGGTGTCTGACTTATGAGTGAAGTAAGTTATCGCATGGCTGATGGCTTTCCGATGACACTGTTGGTTTAAGTGTGTAAGTGTCCTACTTAGGCTGTCTGAGACCTTCTGAGAGACTGTCGTTCAGGATGTTCGCCCTGATATCCCGAATCGCCCACTGACTGTGCTGGAAATATCGAATCGGCTATCCTTGTTACTGAACTGCGACTCAAATAAACAAAATATATATGAAAAGAAAAATAGTAGCACTGAGTTTGTTATAAACTGACCACTTGTTTTCTGGAATGGTTCGGACTATATGACTTTGTCGACAGTAGGATTATAGTCTAGTTAGATGAAAATCATCTTCAAGCGAGAATCCATTTGAAGAGGACAGTATGCAATCCTTGTTCAGTAATGGTGCTCATTCGTTGTCCATATTGATATGAACTGGGCCAACCTAAAACAAAACAAATGTCACGTCGGTTATTAAAATAATTCCATCGCTGACCAACTCTATACAAAAGTGATATTTGGAGCCATACAGATCAATGAACATCAAGACTCGGAGAGGTTCGGAGTACAAGTTGCAAGAAAGTGTATACGGAAAAGAGGGGAAAGAAGGGAGAAAGGGGAAAAAAGGGAGGCGGCAGGATGGTGGTTGAAAATCGTCCACCAGCCTGCCGCCTCCCTTTTTTCGGTTGATTACAGCATATTGCCAGCAGCTGATCACTAAATGATCAGCTGCTGGCAATATGCCATAATTTCAACACCGCTGAAAAACTCGTCCGGACCACGCCTACTCTTCGTGCTTTGCACGTCCACCACCGGTTCGGTACAGAGCCCTATAGAACGGCATTCCCCACTATTTCAGTTCCCTTTTTCTTTCTAAATGGATAACTTCCTGCGTTCTGAATCGTATTTCAGATCCCTCAATCTTCATATGTGGTCCTGGGCTTTGCCTCTAATGTTTCTTGTTAACAAATGGCAGGCAGATAGGATGAGAACATTTACGGTGGATGGTGGGTGAATGTGAACAGGTAAGATATATTGTACAAAAGCAATATTGCCTGCGCATTGGACATTAGAGAATGAATGAATGAACATTTCCTCTCCGATATCAGTAGCATGCTTATTAAGCTGTTGATTCTTCTGAGTTCCAGTAGCATAGAACCTCGATGATGATGCATAGATACCTGAACACGTCCCGTTTTTTTATATCGTCAGCATCTAAGCTCATTGGGTTCACAATCGATCACTGCTGCCGCGGTACAGACCTGTCAGTGACTGCTTCTTGCTCTTGATCGTATTGTGCGCCAACACTCTGGTAATGTATTATCGTGAATTCTTTTTTCGTCAATATGTCGTTTTTATCAAGGTACACAACAAAACGATATGACAAAGTACAATCAGCCTGTTTCAAAACAGTCGGTGTTACAGACGATATGTTGATATTCCTTCACAATAGTTAGAGTCATGGATGCGTACTGTGTTGACATAAATTTCAGTCACATATCCAATCATTATAAGCAAATTGTAGCAGCACAATGGTTGCATGATGACGGAAAGACAGGCTTCGATTTTATCTAGATTGAAACCTTCTCGCAACTGTTTGACCCTTCTGAAAACTTCGATTGGGTTACAAAGCATTGTTGTCGCACTAAAGCTAGAGGTTTTCAGCGGGACTATCACACTATTACAACACCAGAAGCCATTTCCGCTGCTCATGCTATATCATCGGTGCCATTTTGTGTTGTTTCTACGCCATCACTTTCTCCATCGTATTCATCATAGAACTCATGTAGACGATGAGACATGACATTTCGGCTCTGACGCTAGTAATTCTTAAGAAGATACGCAGTGTTTCCCTCCGAAGGTACTAATCTTCCCATGTGCGAGGAACAGGTAAGCAGTTGCCGTCTAGAATTGCCGTTTCCGTTCTCCGTAAGTGCGTGGCAGCAAAAGCTAGGAAGTACTGACAGACAGGTCCCTTTTTGGACTACACCCTTAGCACGTAACTCGTCACTCGACGAGAAACTGCGGAATCGTGGATGGCACTGAAAAGGGGAACTCTACATTAGATGTACATGTCAAGTGTGTGTGGCACGGAGAGCTTGACTGTTACCACCGACAGAAAGTCACCACTCCCAATTGTTGGATTCCCTCCTTATTTTGTTGCGACCGTCACCTCTCAACAAATCACATAGCAGGCAGATTTGCTAAAAAATTTTTCGGTTAATGAATTCCCTGATATTCACACCCCTTCCCCTCCTCGACATCATTTCATGCATTTAATAGCGAATACTTTAACGGAAGACTGTGACAACGAACGAAAGAGCTCACACACTGAGCTCTAATCTTTGCATTAAAGACAATTATCGCGATCAAGTATTGCGGGCAATTGTACTCTGTCATGCACCAGTATTCCATAGTTAGCTTCTCAGTAGAAAAAGAAGCAGAAAAATCTTCGGGAACACCTTGAACCCAAACCTACCTTTAGCAGTGGGGGCGGGGCCTGGACGAGTGTGCCGGGCGTGGCTGCCAGAATTCGATGCGGCAGCCGCAATTGCGTCCCAACTTTCGAAATAGGATACTTTCGAACGTAAGGCAGCGTTCATACTTGTAGCGCTACAGCGTCGCGCTTACAGGCGGCGCACTACAAAGCGTCGCGCTACAGCGTAGCGCTACAGCGCCGCTTCGCAACGTACTGCAATTTCCAACGATGGGATGATTAGAGTTGCTTACAGAGAAAATTGGGAAGGTTGCTGGAGTTTTCTTGAGAAATTGACAAGAAAAAAAAAAAAAAAGAAAGAAAATGACAAACACCACTGACAAAAAAAATCTTCCCTACTCATTGAAAAAGTCGAAGCAGTAACAGTTCCATAACAAAAAAAAGAACTCTCCATGTTCCGCACTTCACACATGTTTACAAGCCTGGACCTGAAGCAAGGCCTTTTGAGCGAGGTTATGACCAACTTTGGCAAAAATGCCAGTGACCCGCGGGCTTAAAGGGACGCGCGGGCTTTAAAGGGACGGATGCAGTTCGGGACCAGACGCCTCGTCCACCTACCGTCTCCGTGAGCCTAGCGAGCCTTGTCGAAATTGCGATAACTTCCTCATCGCGCGCCATTGATGGATAAAAGCGGGATCATCTTCATCAAGGCGCAGAGGGTTCCAGAAGGCGCGAAGTCATTTTGAAGGCCTCTCGAGCGCGGATACTGTCTTTAAAGCGGTAAGAGACGTGATGAAATGTAGCGCAGATGGTATCTTATCCGTTTTTATCGATTGATAAGATTACCTGTCACCCGTCATCAATGTCCTCATCACTAAATCTCTATGATTTGGTAGCGTGAACCACCTTGAACAGCGACGACGACTGCAACTTCCCTTATCAGCCCCTATCAAGTTATCGCTTCCAGTCACCCACGGTTGATGTCCCCATCTCACCCTCTATGTTACTTGCTGTGACCTGCGCGGTTAAAACGATGACCTCACCCTTTCATATCAGCAGCTTACAGTTCTTGTCACCCACCATTAATGTTTTTGGCCCATAATCTATATCATATTTTGGAGTCAAGTACTAGCTGATGCACCCCGCGTTATGAATATGTGCATCCCCCTTCTAACGTCCTCTTATCGGATCTTATCAACTGATATCACTTCCTGTCACCCACCAATAGTGTTCCCGTCACACCCCCTACATCACTTCTTGGAACCTATCTGACTGCTACTCGGACCGGCACTATGAATTTTATGACAGACGGGCAGACGCCACACACACGCACACACGAACATAGCCGATTTATAGCAGGATGACCCTTTTTACTTTCGTTATGGCTCAGAAGGATCTTTCGATTTCATGTATCCTTTCCTGACAAATGAGTTTGTATAAGAATCTGTGCGGCCGTCATCCATATCTTCCTTGTGTCATGCTTGTCTCGACAACCTTACCTCACTTTGAAATCCCATGGTGGGCGGAATAAGAATGGTTTGTGCTATTAGGGGACATAAACCCACTAGTCTTCCATTCGTCTTTTGTAGTAGTCTTTCTATCCAGGAGTATCTCTTTTTCCAATTTCCTGTGATCTCCCGCTTCACCTTTCACTACTCTTGGCCGCGATGGACAGCTTGCCATTCATGTTGTTAGCTGCGGAACCTCGGTCTCGATGCTTCTGCAACAGGTTATAAACGGACGTTAGGATTGGGGTTGCCATCCACCTTTTCGCTACCCTATAGCTTCATTCTTCCTCATTTATGGACGGCGGCACTTTTGGCTATTTCTTCTGGATAGCTGTAGGGCTGTTCACTTCGTACATGGGAGGGAGTGGGGTGAGCTCTTCGCAGTTCTTCTCCAAAAAGAGGAAAGGTTTTTTTCGTAGATTTCTTTACGTAACTATCTAAAGAAATTGCTCTCTCCTTACAAAAAAAGTTGGAAACAAACTCTAAAAGTCCGAATAATCCGAATCCATCCAAAAAAGCGCCCTCGTCTTTGCGGAGAGTGGATTCCAAAACTTTTAATGATGTTCTGTTAATCCTCTTTTGACGCCAATTAAAGACGGGACTTGACAGGTTGAAAATAACCG